CACTCTAAAAATCTAAAAAAAATGATAAAAAAGAATGAGGAAACGTTTACAAATAAAGAGAAAATCGATTGTTGAAGTGACGTCAGAGAAGTGCCTTCACTTTTGTTGTAATTATCCAAATAAAAATAAAAATATTGCCGCTGGACAGGTTGTCTCTCCCCTAAACGTGTGTCAAATATGACTTTGCCGAATCTTTTAGAGTTTTGCACAGGAAGGCGAAGAAAGTATAACAAAACTTATGTAACAACCTAATACTACCTATCTAGCTGACATTTTACAAGTATTCCAGCATCGCACACTCAATTTTCTTCTGCAAACGTCAAACGACAGTTGCAAAAGTTTAAACAGAATGAGCATTAATTGCCTCAAGCGTTAGACTGACTATCGATTTATTAAGACGGTCGACTTCATTATGGAAGCTCTACCACACTACTCCGTAGATCAAAAGGATCGAGCAGGTCACACGGCGCTATTTTATGCAGTCACCTACGGGCACTACGAAGTCGCAAAACGGCTTTTGGATTACGGTGCTAATCCTAATCACCAAGTTAGTCTCACTGTTTTTTCGCACTTTGAAAAATATCGTCAGACGCTACAAAGCTACATGACTTTGAGAGAACTATTACAATCAGAAGAGAAGGTGGTTTTTCAGGACCATAGGCTGCGAACTCCTTCACATTGTGCAGCAGCAAAGGGACAAATGCGAATGCTGAAACTGCTCAAACAATACAATGCTTCCTTTGAAATACAGAACTACCGTGGTGACTTACCCGTACATGAGGCTGTACAATCAGGGAGTAAAGGTACGCTCGAGAGCCAGAATGAAGAAATTGCTCACAACAAGGAAACTGTCTTTGAAATTGTGAATTTCTTGAGCAGCGTGTCCCAGATTTTCTGAAGCAGTCTACTACTTTTCCTGTACAAAGGAAAAAACCAAAAACCCGAAAGAGATGAAAACCCAACTATCAACAACGTGAATTCGACTATGTTGTGCCTGGATATC